GCTTAGGACAGTTAAATGCATTACAGCTACACTATGACTCTGATTTCTCCCTAATGCCATTTATGTTTTCTAGAATTATGCTAAGTGAAGAACAAAGTACACTGTGTTATTCCCATTTATTACAACCATGTCCATAATTTACAAGCTGATTATGCAAGCCTCATACAAGGGAAATCAGAGAATAGTTAAGCACTGTCGAAAACGGTAAACCAACATACCTTTTGTCAACTACCTTTGCTTACATAGCTAAAATGAAGCATTGCCATATACAAATTCACTATAATGAGATTTAATCATAAAAAGCACAGTGTTAAGATAACTGTATAAGAGGCATCAGAGTACAACCAAGTGTCCTAAGTATGTGACAGTTGAATGTGACACAGAACTAAATACAATGACAAAGAAATATCAACATGGTGGCAATGTGTTTTGCTACACCCTGTCTTGAAGCAAATGAAAGTTACATGATTTGGGGAGAGAAAAGTATCTATTAAGTCACATTAATTTTCTTTTTAATGCCATCCTTTGTTATCGCACTGAATTTAAAATGCATCTACTCAAAAGCCAAGAATATACCAGCCATTCTCATTTCAGAAGACTTTTAAAAAGTGTTTCTTTGGATTTTCAGATATATTAAAATTTGAGAAGCTAATAATGTCTAGCTGTTTAAAACAGTGTTGATGCCTCTGAGCAACTCTATTAGAAAAACACTAATTACTTCAGATAAATACATTTCACAGTCCATTTATCTTTTCAAGGTACTTTATTATAGCAAAAGCATTTCAGAGATATAATGTTTTCACTCTGATAATATAGGTATGCTGTGTGATACAAATGAACAGCTATCATTACAAAGGATTTTGATCTCTTTATAAGACTGATCAATCTATAAAATATTTTAGCATAAGTTACCAAAATATTTTTTTCAATTTAAAAATCAGACAACTCCTTTCAGGTTAAAAAAAAAAACTCTAAAAATCCAATAAATATATATTCAGTGCACACTATGTGCCATACACAGTACAGGAGAAGAATACCCTAATTTACTCAGTACTTGGTATCAAAATGACCTTAGCAAATGTGTAGCATCAAAGCACAACAAAACTCTAAAACCTTTGATCTCTCTCTCTCTCTCTCTCTCTCTCTCTCTCTCTCTCTCTCTCACACACACACACACACACACACACACACATATACACACAGGCTTTTTAATGTAGTCGAGTCAAAGCTCACTAACCCAGTATACAGTCTTCATGACCACTATCCCACATAACAACAATTGAAACATGATTTAAAAACAATGGTCCCTATCATATTTTACCTTCAAACAGTTGACCTCCAATACCTGAAACAAAGTTATGTATCTAAAATATTACAAATATTCATTATAATAATCATGAAATATACCTCTTCTATATTAATGAACACTTGCATTACATATCATCTTACAAGTGGCCTTTTATTTGAAAGTTTCAACTTTAACTTTCAAAAATATCAAAATTATTTATATTTGTAGGAAAATTCCTGAACTGGAATTCTATGTCTGTGAGATATATAAGTTAATTAAACCACAAGTGTTACAACAAGATTACACATATACATTACTACTTTCTTCTTTTATGTCTTCTAGAAAAATTTATACAGAACTGAAGAATTAAAATGTAACTTTTAAAAATGGATGAATATAAAGTATTTTCCTTAACATTACATGAGTCAAAACATATTTCTAAGATGTAAATTATAAAATAGTCCATGAAAAATAAATTATTAAATTTCCCTAATCCCAAAAGGTAATTTTGTTATTTTGTTTCTAGAGAGAAAAATCAAAAATAGCACATTCAGATTGGTAATCCGAATAGGAGGTAAATATTGAATAAAATTTTAGGAAGCCATTGAATGAATTTTATTATAATAATCCTGTAATTTGCAACATGATTCAAGAAAATTTATTAAGCGTTCAACTTTATGTATTAAAGACTCAGAAGTACAAAATAGGAATGGTTTTAAAAGGAATTCTGTATCTGGGGAGATGCGATGAAGCTCAGCAAATAAAGTCATTTATGTTACTTATTTGTCCAGCCAATTCACTTCAAAATGAGTAAATATATACAAACAAATTCTTTTAAAATAAGTTGAAGGAACTGTGTATCTAGAAAAATCTACAAAGGTACCCATATAGATTTTCCCCTCCTTTGCTTTAAATCCATAAAGATAAATTGTTCTGTTCTTCACTTAGCCTTGAATATATCATATCAAAGTCACCTTTTTTTTTTTTTTTTTTGCCTTTTTGAGACAGGGTCTTCCTGTAATTCCAGCTGGCTTGGAACTCACTATGTAGATCAGGCTGGCCTTGAACTTTCAGAGATCTGCTTACCTCTGCCTCTGCTTCCTGAGTGCTGGGATTAAAGGCATGTGCCACCACGGCCAGCTCTCAAAGTCATCTATTTAAACCTAGGCCATCTAAGGAGGATGAGGGACCCACAACAAAACATTCTTTTACCTCACTGCAGAATTTCCCCAGGCTCCATGCTTGTCTGTGAGAAGGTTGATAATTTTCTGGATTAGTTGAGTTGCTGTCACATGGTCTCGATACTTAGCTGCTCTTATTAAATGATCACACATCTTCTCCTCTTCTCGTTTGTCTGCAGAATACTGGGCACACAATGACTAGAATATGGGAAAAAAAGATTTACTAATTAACTATAAAAATATGGATGAAAATGCCTAAACTATATCATGAAATAATCTTTAGCATGAATAAAACCAACCAAAAAACTTTAATAATAATTTTATATCCTTCATTAAACATACTAATTTACTTCCCTAAAATCAATAATAAGAAAAACTCAGACGCTGTTGACAGTTAAATTGAGATCTTATCACTGATGAGCATCCAGGAAGGCAAATGCTGGACCCTACATTGTAGTCAGAATGAAGTGAGGCAGTAAAGGACTTCAGACCCAGTAGAGAAATAATGCTATGAAATTAATTTGGAGACATCACTTGTACTATGCAATTATAATAAGTTTGGGTTTTATTCAAATGCCCTGAAAAATTTTTAAGTAGGGTGGTAGGCAACCAAGTCCCATGTTAATGATCATCAGAGATGCAAGAGAATGAGCTCTAATGAGACAAGATAACTGAAGAGAAGAGACAAGCTCTGAGGCCACTGAAGAGGCCTAGACCAGAGATAAACATGGCTTAAAACAGTAAACAGAGCTATTTCTCAATACTTTGAAAATGAAGAATTTGGTGTATTAATTCTATCTATACAAAACAAATCTGCAGCACAAGAATCACCTGTAAGATTAAAAGTACAGAATCAGATCCCATGACAAAACTATCAAAGCAGTATATGGATTTTAATCTTCTCCAGGTGATTGTGCATACATCAAAGTTTGAAATGTACAATCTTAGATAACAATTTTCCAAAATATCTTAGGGTTCTTTAACAATAATTGGCTGTAACACCAGGTCCCAAAATACATACTTTCTTTTGGAGTTCTGGAACTTCTGGCATCACATTTACAATACTTTAAGTGAGTGTATTGCCTAAAAGAAACATGGGCATTCAGGCAAAGCTGATCCTTAACAGGGTCTACTGGATTCATGGCCTTAGCTTCCAAACTGAAGTGCACGCATGTTCTGTTTCAGTTTTTGCCTCTGTTTCTGTCTCTGTCTCTCTCTGATAAGTAATCTGCATTTAATTGGAAGTAACGCTACCATTATATTTATATATATATGATGCATATAATTGTGTTTGTCTGCCTCTCCTACTATATGAAAAGTAGGAGTCTAGAACAGATTGCAGTTACTTGCAATCCCCACCACAACACCAGCAACAAAGAAGGGGTCTGACTGTCCTAAACCATACCCACAATGACAAACTAGCCCAGGGAAGCTCAATTGATGTAATTCTTGTATTAAGTAGAAAGTTCAGCATTTGGGTGGATTATTCACTCCCCCCCTCCAAGGACAGAAGAACAAGTAAAACGTCCAGAAGAAATGAAATCTCTCTAATCTACCAGCGGGGGGGCGGGGGCGGGGGCGGCGGGGGACGACATTGTAAGGACGGCCTGATGATTAAGCCAAATCTAAAATATAGCAGAACCTTGACAATTAAAAAGAGTACTTATTCCTGATGGAATCATGAACTTCTAGAGCAAATAACTGTTTTAATAAAAAAGATCTAATAATGCTCAAGGGAACACTGAAGAGAGAGATGGAGGTGGAGAAAGGGATGGAAGGGTAAGGACAGAGGAGGAGGTAGGAGAATAAATTAACACTAAGGATGTTTGAAAAAGCCATATGGGAGCCTACTATTTTATAAGCTTCCCATATATATTTTTTTCATATAAAAGAGTTTAATTGGAGTTATCCTACACAGGGAATAATGTTGTTCCAAGAAGCCATAGGTTACCAAATAGAAAATCCAGTGCCAGGTGTATGATACTTTTCTTCAAGATGCTGATCAGGGTGTTCCAGAGACCCCTAAAACAATATAAGGTATTGCCAGTGCTCTTGGCTGCTCACCAAAACTTGATGTTAAGACTCTATTGCTGAAAATTACATATAATTTGGTCATAGGACATGGAGAAATCAAGTTGATACTGACAAGCTTCCTCCCTGCTGACTACGTTTCATAGTACCAAAAGGTGCTATGTAGGCTACTGGGTGATAAAAATCAAAAACAGTCTTAACCAGCTGATAGTCTTGTGAACTATAATACTGATCATACGATAAGACATACCTATGGGTACAAATAGTCACAAACATTATGGGCACAAATGTTATAGGGTAACCAACTGTTTCCTGATTGGATTTGAAGCCTGTGTGAGGCCAGGAGAAAAACTCAAACTTGGCCTGGTACCGTAAATCTGGTCAAGAATTCATGTTGAGGAGCTGATTAGCCCCAAGGGTGAGGCTACTACTATTATTCTGCTAAATGGACACAGTGTCAAACTAGTCTCTAAATCTGTGTATTTCTTCTACCCACAGATCAATGCACCTTTCCAATCTAATCAGAGGAGTTTCTGTATGCAGTGGACAGTGGTTAACAGAAACTCACAATTTATCAAAGTGTAGAGAACATATGTCGAGGGGGTGCTCTGCCACAAATGGGACAGATACCACATTCCACCAAAACTCAGGGACCATTGCAAAAGAGGGGGCAGAAAGACTAGATGAGTCAGACGCTGGGGAGGACTGGACCAAAACAGTGTCTTCTGCACATGGACATGATGGGCTGTGGTTGCCTGCACATGGCCTGCACAAAATCTGGCCAGTCAGCATTCTAGGATGGAGGAAGGAAGGGCTCATGAGCTTCTATCTCTAACTGAGGAGCTACTGACAACTGATGGCTGCTCGGAGAGGAAGAGTCATCTTTAAGGGTCAACCCGTTAGGTCGGTAGATAAATGGGCAACACAAATTGGAGTCCATAGGATACTTTGTTTTAAAAAAAAGCACACAAAGTTGGGACCAAGTTAGGAGGTAGGGGCAGGTGTAAAAGGAGTTAGGGGAAGGGGTAGGGGATGAATATGATCAAAAATAGACTTTATGAAATTCTCAAAGAATAAAAAACTTTTTAAAAAATGACCTATATTTAGGCATTCTGTAAGACTATTTTTAAGACTTTTTTTGAGATCCATGGATGGATTTGCAAAGGTATTAAGTGGAAAAAAATGAACTTCTAAAGTATAATCACGAGAAAAAAATAGAAAAGCAATACAGTTTGACTCAAATACAAAATGCACATAGAAGCATTTTAAAAAATTATTTAAAAGACACTGTAAAATTCAGAATGAGACTAGAAAAAAAACAGTCACTAAGAAGCAAAATGTTTTCATATGAATGGCCATAAAGTTAGGAAGCAAAACAAAAACCAGATTAATACTATCATCTGGCTGTGTCTGACAACCAGTTCTGAACAACGCCCTAATTTATTTCCGTAGGTGTAAATGTTGATGTTTAAATCTCTAAAATGAGAAGATTACATTAGTTCTAAGAATTTAGCATTTGAGAATAAGTGACCGTTGAATGCTCAGCCACAAAGAGGGCATCTACATCATCCACTGCACAGCTTTGGGAGTATCATGGAAGAGAGAACAGAAAGAATGTAAGAGCCAGGGGAGGGATAGTATATTGAGAAACCCTGTATTTTAGGCCTGGCATGGCTGTTATACTCTTGAACTCAGCAGCTGTGACTACCTGTACAAGACTGAGCCCCTCAACATCCTGCTGAGCAGAGTCTCAAAAGGCTGCTCCTCTACCTGGGGATTGGGCTGGCAATTCATGACTGCTGTGGGAAGGAGAGACATATTCTTTTGTGGTATAGCCACAGCCAGCAACACATGCTCCAATAAACAACTCTCACGAAAGTCACTGGGTGAAGGGGAGAGACAGAGACACAGAGAGACAGAGACAGAGACAGGCCAGGACAAGGATAAGGAAGTAGAAAAGGACCTAGTTGGGAATAGGAAGAAAAAAATCATGAGTGGGAAGGGGACAAGAGAGGGCAATAGGGGGTAATATGACCAAAATGCATTCTATACATGTATTAAGACTCCATACTAAAACTTGTTATATATTAGTATATGATAAGAGCATTAAAAAAACAAAATACTTTTAAAACACAAAAAGTATCAAAGATTCTGGGAAATCTGTGGGAGAACAATAGACATCACTTGAGCACAAGCTCAAAGACATACTTTCATTCAACTTTTATTCAGGCAGAGTTTCTTCTTCATGTCACCTCTACTTTAAGTTTCATAAAAACTAGGTATTAACTTTAAACATGAGTACAAAAATATCTGAATGTGAAATCAAAACAAATAATCATCGTGGTAATTAAGTAATTCACTTGTATCTGACTACTGCTAAAGAAACAAAATTTACTACTGGAGAATAAAAACGAACATAGAATACAGGTGAAAGCATATTATTTTACATTATGTAAGGACTGATGTGAAGAAAATAAGTCATATTAGGAACCAGATTAAACAAAATCAAATGCAGTGCCACACTTCATCTACATTACTGCTAAAAGACCTTGCCTAGAAGCCACATGAGAATACGCTTCTGAAAAATTTGATTTTAACAAACAAAAGAATGAAAAATATTTTAAAATATTTGAGGGATTTAAAATATTTGAAGTACCTTAAGTGAAGACAAAAAGAGAATTATTGCATTTTAATGAAATGTCACTTGAGATACAATATTTTCAGATTCATTCAAGACCTAAGAAGAATTTAACAGAGTACATCATTTTGAGCCTATTCTAAACATAAAGGAAAGTATAAAAAGATAGGTCTCTATAAGCGTTATTGCTTACTATATCCAAATACACCTTTTTCTAACTTTACCTGATGAAAGGAAAATAAACTATTGCTGGAATTTGGAAATTTGACAGCCTCTGTAGTACTGTGAAACATCACATATCTTCACATTAAACATTACTAAGTAACAATTATTTCTACTTTTTATACACAGAACAACTTAACTTTATAGAACTGCATTTTGTAAATGTTTGCTGGCCTATCAAAGATGCTGAAAAGGCATTTCTACAAACAAGGACTCAAGGTAAGCTAAATAGTAAAATGGTTTAAAGTGCTCTTTAATGGATCTTCCTTTACAATTTGAAAAGCAACTTTTCATATCTGACATAAAA